GGAGCGGTCAAATAATTGAAGACACTCATTAAAAGTTTGAAAAATTTTAAATAAAATAGTTGACACTCATTAGTTGAATAAATTAGTTGGTGCCCGCGACTTACAATGTATAAATGAAAAGCTCACAATTTTTTTTACAAAACGATACAGATCAAGATTATATTGTTTCAGATATCTGGGTACTGGTTGTTCCTTTGGAGAACTGCATTACAACTTTCGTCTTGGCAAATCTACAATTACAGGAATTGTCCGTGAAGTATGTGAAGCTCTGAACCCAGCGAAGATATATGGAAGAAAATAGCTACAGATTTTGAAAAATATGCAAACTTCCCCAATTGCATTGGCGCCATAGATGGCAAGCATGTAAGGATCACAAAACGCAATGATTGTGGATCTTTGTATTACAAATACAAAACTTTTTTTCCATAGTGCTGTTGGCACTTTGTGATAGTAACTATTGTTTTTATTTCATAGATATTGGATCATATGGAAAAAGTAGTGATTCTCCAATTTTTAAAAATTTGGTATTTTATAAAAGATAAATAGAAAAGTCATTACACATACCAAAACCTAAACCAATATCTAACATAGATCCTACGCCATTGCCATACGTCATAGTTGGCGATGAAGCGTTTGGTTTATCCGAAACTGTAATGCGACCCTATGAAGGTGGAGGGCTTTCATACGGAAAAAAAATTTAATTACAGGTTATCAAGAACTTGACGTTATATTGAATGCACTTTTGGAATTCTAGTGTAACGCTTCCCCCCCTCTCCCATAATAATAATTATATTAGATATAATTAATTTACCCCTTTTCGATAAAAATTATATATATGTGACCAGGAATAATAAATTATGTTTTGATCTTTCTAAAGGTTTAATAATAGGCCGTTTGTAATAATTTGGCATGATCGTCTTAGTTAGGACCCTTATTTACGTTGTGTTTGTTTTGTAACTTAGTTCTTTTAGGTGTCTTTTGGAAGAATGAATATTCGCTAGAGCAATTGAAAGCTGTTGGTAGTGCCTTATAAGTTAAGTGAACCCCGTTCACGAAGACAGGGCTCGAGAAAGGTTAAGAACGTAAAACGTCTTTATTCCACTTGTATCAGGTTGACATTATTAATTTATTATTATTTATCCCTTCCCGCTTGGAAAAGGCTCACAATATATTTATACATAATACCCGATACAAGGGCTTCGCTCTCCTACATTTATTTTAAAAAAATGTAGGGGGAGGTACACGGCCCCACACACGCCGTGCACGGTGAGTGCCAACCATTTTGATGCACTCCCCCCGAAGGGAAAGCTAATTCGGGAACTGGACCGTAGTCCACAGCAAAATAACTGGCGAACCAGTAAAAGAGGCTTGGCCCCTTGCTAGTGCGTAAGCACAAACATCGACCGAAGTCGCGCATGTCAATGCGTGTAAACGCCAAACAGAATACGAACGAATCCAGCCAGAGTGAATGTACGTCACACAGTTTAGGCAAATAGGCACACTGGCCGTAAACCCTCCGTGAGCGCCACCACCTGCCAGACCGCCGCTCCTGCAGACGTGATGTAAGTGTATGGCATCACCACCAGTTGCATGATCAGCACGGCTACTAGCCGCAGAGCGTGTCATGAGTCTACCGCTCACCTCAAGGGAATGGGGTCCCACGTTGTGCGGCTTTCGGCCGCAGCCTTGAGAGTCTCCTCAGATCCTCCCGCCAGCTACCACCCGCATGAGGTCGACACATATGCTCCACCAACCAATACAACGGCAGATATAGCCAAAAGGCAGTTATAAGATAAGAGTAATAATTCGCCATCAGAAAGGGTTTGTGTCACTGACGTTGAGTAAATGCATTTTCGATCATGTTTGTCTCACCCACCGACAAGTTGCCTTCAATCATTCAAAGGTGGGAAAGTTACAGAGATATAATATTATGTTGTTATATAAAACATCGTGGAGGGCAGACAGTCTGCAGCCCCGCAATGAAGGGACCCGACTTGGGCAAAGCTACTTAGGTGTGAGTCAAACCAAGACGCAGAGAGCGCCATTGAGAATAGCGTCCCACCAAACAACCATCGCAGAGACGCAATGCTGCAGAACGCAACAAGCATCAATACGACTATCGTCGGGCTTACACCATTCCAAGGTCCCCCATACATCCCAGCAGACATCACCACCTGCATACCTCCATCGACCAGAACCACAAGAGTGCGTCGAATCAGGCGCAGCACACCCGCAGATCCATCACAAGACGCAATACCGCAAGTAGCAGTATGCATCAATGCAACTATCATACGGATGGCGCCCCCTCACAACACACCCATATGATCCCTATCGACTTTGGTAACAAAGTTGGTATTGTTGTTATATAAAAAATATCACCAACGTATCATAGTAGCACGCTACTAAGACGCCAATGAACAAAACTCCACGTGTCATAGCGCTAATGCACTAAGACATGAAGTTGAGTATGCCTGCTACACTTAAAAGTGCTACCAAACACACTCATCATCCCAATCCGAAAGATAGACGACACATCGCTATGCGCAACGATGTCGCCCACAAACGGTATGGGTGTGCGATGGCCACGGGAAAGCCGTATTTCTACAACAAACCCGCTTACCACCGGCACTAAGATGTTAATTGTATACCTCCATCGACCAGAACCACAAGAATGCGTCGAATCAGGCGCAGCACACCCGCAGATCCATCACAAGACGCAATACCGCAAGTAGCAGTAAGCATCAATGCAACTACCATACGGGTGGCGCCCCCTCACAACACACCCACATGATCCCTATCGACTTTGGTAACAAAGTTGGTATTGTTGTTATATAAAAAATATCACCAACGTATCATAGTAGCACGCTACTAAGACGCCAATGAACAAAACTCCACGTATCATAGCGCTAATGCACTAAGACATGAAGTTGAGTATGCCTGCTACACTTAAAAGTGCTACCAAACACACTCATCATCCCAATCCGAAAGATAGACGACACATCGCTATGCGCAACGATGTCGCCCACAAACGGTATGGGTGTGCGATGGCCACGGGAAAGCCGTATTGCTACAACAAACCCGCTTACCACCGGTACTAAGATGTTAATTGTATACCTCCATCGACCAGAACCACAAGAATGCGTCGAATCAGGCGCAGCACACCCGCAGATCCATCACAAGACGCAATACCGCAAGTAGCAGTAAGCATCAATGCAACTATCATACGGGTGGCGCCCCCTCACAACACACCCACATGATCCCTATCGACTTTGGTAACAAAGTTGGTATTGTTGTTATATAAAAAATATCACCAACGTATCATAGTAGCACGCTACTAAGACGCCAATGAACAAAACTCCACGTATCATAGCGCTAATGCACTAAGACATGAAGTTGAGTATGCCTGCTACACTTAAAAGTGCTACCAAACACACTCATCATCCCAATCCGAAAGATAGACGACACATCGCTATGCGCAACGACGTCGCCCACAAACGGTATGGGTGTGCGATGTCCACGGGAAAGCCGTATTGCTACAACAAACCCGCTTACCACCGGCATTAAGATGATATGTCTAGGACACATCGGTTAGCGAGTCCAAGTTTACCTCGGACCAATTGCTCGTGAAGCAGCACACACGCCACCATAATATTCCTTTTCAAGTCCCTAATAAGGACTAGTCATTTTGCTACAGTACTAGGAGTGGTCAGTCACCCGACCACCCCATACAATGCTTATGCATCAAGGAGACCTCCTATAATATTGCTTTTGTATCATAGACCTTACTTTCATAAGTCATTAATATATAGGATTCGAACCCACGACCCTACTATTGTAATGCATATTAATCATAGAGACCTTCTATAGTATTGCTTTTGTATCATAGACCTTACTTTCATAAGTCATTCATATATAGGATTCGAACCCACGACCCTACTATTGTAATGCATATTAATCATAGAGACCTTCTATAGTATTGCTTTTGGATCATAGACCTTACTTTCATAAGTCATTAATATATAGGGTTCGAACCCACGACCCTACTATTGTAATGCAAATTCATCATGGAGACCTTCTTTAGTATTGCTTTTGTATCATTGAGTTTAATATCATAAGTCCCTAATATAGGACTAGTCATTGTGCTACAGTACTTCAGGCAGTCGGGCTCCCGACCACCCCATCTATATGTACAACTGCAGGTATGTACCTCCGACAGCTTCCTCCATACAAGACATCTATACGTGAACACCTTCCATAACTTAGGAAAATTTTCTTTAATACATGAACTCCTTCAACAACTTAGGAAATTTCATCTATACGTGAACTCCTTCCACAACTTAGAAAAATTTTCTTTTATACACGAACACCTCCCATGACTTAAACAATTTTTAACAAATTTTCTAATTATCTTATAAACGTTATTTAACTTAATTTTATAATATTTTTTGACTTGTATTTCTATTATTTATCTTATTTTAAATATTTTTTCAAGTTTTTAAATAAATTTATTTATTACGAAAAACAATAATTTTGCCTTTAATTTACTATGTTATTGGGATAATGTCTGAAATATATTAACTTTATGTTTATTAATTTAACTTAATTGCTTAATATATATCTTTTAAGACTATTTTTGACGCCCCTTTATATTGAATTTAATTATTAATAATAATATTGGGCCGTCACACTAGCAAACAAGTCGCGCATTTTTCATAGGCCTATAAACGTTAATATAGACTTTGCCGAAGACATAATAAAGGCCTGTTGCATGCTACACAATTTTGTTAGAACTAGAGATGGTGTACAGTATGAAGATACTTTATATACTGCGCCAATGAGTAATCTTAATACATTACATGCAGGAAGGGGTACACCATAATCATTAAACATTAGAGACAAATATGCTAATTACTTTTTAAATGAGGGTCGTGTAGAATGGCAAGACACAAAAATATAAAATTAAAATTTGTTACAGTTCGCGCCAAATAACTAAACTCAAGATGACGTCGCGTCGGTTGCACATAGTCACTGGCTACTCCGTTACTATGGTAACGTGATATTTTTCCCACGCCCGATACTTACCTCCAATCACAATAACAACGTTTTTATATAGTTTAGTTAATTGGGGTGGACTGTCAATTACAAAATATGTAAACTACCCTTAAATACTTACTGACCAAAAAGAACCTTTTTTTACAAAGAATCCTCATTTTCTCCAAAAATCTCCACCAGCTCAGCCGTTTCTAATAATTTTATTAGAATATTCTGCACATTGGATGTCCCACAAAGCAGGTCTCTTTTCTACCTCATCGATGAATAGCTCGGTGTCGAAGCGATCCATAGTCACCGTCCGATACGCGCGGCTTCCGCAGAGCAACTGAACGCGCTCTAGGTACGTCAAGTAAATAGATCCGAGCGGCAACCACGCGAATTCATTTTCTAGCGGTTGAGTGGCGGTAACCGTTCGGACAGGTATGAACGAATTATAGGCGCTAATATAAATAAGATCCGCGCAGTCTAACCCCGCAATTTGCATCCGCATGGATTCCGCCATGTCTGAACTAGCTCTAATGGCCCGGCCACACTAGGGAGAAATGCCGTTAATTATCGCGTTGATGGACGTTAAATTTAGGTGTGGCCACGAATTAACGCGATAATTTTCAACGGCATTAACAATGCCGTTTCCCGTTTGCCGATAACTCGAGTGTCGGTACATCAAAGGATTAACGCGTTATCGCGTTGAAGCGGCCACACTACGTTTGTCTCATTGTGCACTGTGAGTGCCACGGGGTTACACGTATGGCTGCGATGGAATGGAGTAACGAAAAAGTTACAACGTTTCTCGAGATCCTGCAAACAGAGCCATGTTTGTGGGATCCGAGACTTAAAAGTTATAAAAATCGTACATCGCAATATGATGCTTGGCGACGTATTTTGCAACTGCTACCCTTCCAATCATCAATTGAAGAAATGAAAAAGAAAAAGGAAAGCCTAATGGGTTATTATAGAACCCATTTAAATAAATATAAAAAGTCTTTGAGGTCCGGAGCTGGCACAAAGGACGTGTATACTACCAGTTGGTTTGCGTTCGAAACGATGGATAGTTTCTTACGAGGGGTTTATGAAAGTAATCACACATTAAATACAGTGGTAAGTGTATGTATAATACGATACAAGAACGTTTAAAGTGATCGTGGTACGAAAATCTCTATTTTGTCATTGACTTCCGGGTCTGAGTATTATTATACACCATTGATGTTCGGCGCGTTGCTGCATTTTTGTATTTATTTGAAATTTTAATAAAATTGCATAAATAAAATAGTGATTGTGTCAAATGTGCAGTTAAGTTTTAACGCAATGTGTGAAGACAATTACTATTTGAGACAACAGTAAATAAGCGCCAACTTTTATGAGTGTGGATTTCTCACGAGGTGAGTATTTTATCTAATGGAATGCGAAGAACGTAAAAACCTACAATCGATTAAAAGAATCAAATTTTAGGAATATATCTTATTTATTTCACACTCGAAGATCCAGACGAAAATGAAGCATTATCGTTTTTGATATATTTTATTTTTTAATTTTACTTATTATGAGATAGTGTACGATTTTTTATAAATAATGTTAATGACGATCTATACATGTTTTAATAATTATGTTAAGTTTGTAAAAATACTACTAAATATCTCTTCATATTACCATTAAAGTATAAATGTAATTACATTTTAACGCATATTACTACCAAATTAATATCTTCTACAGTTATAGTTCTAATATATAATTAAAACGCAATTATTAAAGTTTAAAAGAAAGAAATAATGCAATCTTTAAAAAAAATTTATACACTGCATTGACTGTAAGATTAAAGTCTGTGTTTATATACTTTTTGGTAGCAAACAAAGACTATAATATAGCAGAAAACTAGCAAAATGAAAAAGCATAAACTTATACTTGCAAAGTAGCTAGACTAGACTGGACTAGACAAAACTAGTAGATTTAGATCAAAGTGTATAGTAACTGTCTAGGTATTTAGAGTGAAAAGTGTCATATTATTGATACAAACTGTGTTTGTGTTTGAAAAAAGTTACCTATTTTATATTTGAAATTGTAGTAAGTAGTTAATTCTTATTAAAATAAATAATAGTAAATAAAGTGTAATAAGTTTTTCAGTCCACTATAATATAATAAGGTTTATTTATCAATATTTTATTAATCATAATATATACATACCTAACCAATATTCCTCTTTTGTATTTCCAATATATCTTTGTAATAAAAATATTTCTTGGTTTAATGATTGAATAGGTATTTTAATAATAAAAATATAGGGTTCTACTAATAAGGGGTGATTCCTTAACAGAGGGTTCACACCAAGCTCACCACTATCTTGTAACCCTCTCCATTCAAAATCGATTGTAGGTTACATTCTTTCTGAATTTAATATCTTTTTACTTTTTTAGTCTTAATTTACAATTCTGATTTTTTAAGTTACAACAAAGATGCAGATTGGCAGTTACCAGCCTGAGAATATTGCAAGAAAGTACTGCATTTCATATGAATTATGTGGATCTTCAATTTTAAGAGCACACCAAACAGGCTGTGTCTGTTAACTCTGCAGAAAGAGATGCTATTTTACAGTGGATACTAACACACCAGGTACTTAGTACCTACCTTACCAGCTTGTAAGTGATCCCTTGCCTGAAATAGGAACAGTATGATTTAACAGGAAGATTTTCCATAAACGCTTTGTTACACAGTTCGACACGTTTCTTATCAGATACCTCGCCCTCTTGATGCTGCTGCCCACCATATGTCTGTTTAATTTTGGTCTGATATTTATGCTTGTGATAAATACTATGTGAAGGTTATCGTCACCTTCACATAGCTTCTCTATTTGATGTAGCTTCATCGACTTTGTTCAAAAACTTAAATATTGTAACTGCATATAGGGTCAAATACCTTATGTTTTCAACAAGTTCTCAAAATAACTTGACAATACCTAATGGCTTATGTATTTGGTAATCCAGACATGGATCCTGAAAATGGCTGCCACAATAGATAGTATTGATGGTACATATATTTATGTATAAAAAAGTATTTGTTACTTGTACCTGAAACAAATATACAGTCTGTTTAATTATCATAACATAGGCAAACCAAGTTTACTTTTGTGCTGCTCTAATGGTTTATATCCTTGATGTTTTTTGGACCATACCCTGCGACAGAATCACATTTTTAATACTTAGACTGCTGTGTTTTTACTCTGCAGAAAGGAATATTATAGATGACTTGTACACACTCAAATATTTACAACTTTTATTCAATCAATTCAATCTGATTAATTGTATATTTTTTAATTTAACAAACAAGTAGGGTTAACAAAATAATAACAACATAATATGGAAATACAATTTATGAATATTGAAGAAAATAGTCTTATCTACTATTTCTCATAATTGCAAGTGTCCCCCCTGGTTGGTTTGATATGTAAACTACTTATTATTCAATACATACATTAACACAGTCTCCAGTTGCTATTTAGATTGCAATAAATATAGAAAAAAAAACATATTAATAAGAATTGTTATTTGTATAGGCATTCTTTACAATATTTATTAACCTTTTTTCAGGGCCGCTTAGAAAGTATTGGTACGACTTGCAGGCTTAAAGTTTGCAGACCTGTACATACATAGGCAGAAACAAAATGACAAGAGAAATGCAATTTATGGATATTGAAAACAAGAGTTTTACATCGTATCTGTTATCATTGATCTGATGATGTCTTTCTTATCTTTTTCATAATAAAATCATAAATAGACATGTAATCATCAAGTTATTTTCACATTTATGATGTTTGGAATTTGTATATTCTCCACACTGTTCTTGTCTCGCTGTGATGCCTTTAAGAAAAACCCTTTGATATGATAATGATTAACAATTATAAATATAATTACATTACACATATATTTTTTATTAACCCTTATCCCTTACACAACCCCTTTAATACATTTTACTTCCCCACTTTTTATCAGTATGTAGTAACATAAACATGTTCTTACCATACATAATCAGTTTAAAAGTATTGCTTTATAATTTATATTTATCACTGTTTACATAACTAGACTTTAACATATAGACAAAGTTTTCACAGCACACCTGACTGTTTGTGTGTATTTGTTGTGTTACTTTTTTCATAGTGTAAGGGTGACAAACGAGCACACAGTCTACATGATGGTAAATGGATGCTGCAACACATAAAGTAAGTAAAAAAGTCCGGTTCTCTACCCTCAGCATACGAAATACAGCAGCATTTAGCTGCTATTTTACATTGGTAATCTGGAGCCTGTTCCTTCCCCTGTCGAGCTGACTGATTCTTGCTACTACCATAATATGGCTGCAGTTACTACTACGTAAAAAACTTTGAAGAAACGAAAATAATAATAAAATATAGATAAAAATATGTACAGTGATATTATGCATTGTGTTTTTGTTATCCAAACAAATCCAGTTCAAAACAACTAAATTGTTATTTATATATTATTGTTTAAAATCGTAAATAGGTATGCAGTTTTATACATATTAAAACAAAGTCTTGACATCGCGCCTGTCTGGTTGTCTGTTGTACTTTTAAGAAACTAGTTTGGAAATAATGATCTACAATAATAAATGCATTGGCATAAGAACATCTTTTTCATAATCTTCATCATATAGAGTGTAGGTAATATTATGAATGACCATAATCTTCTTTCAGACAAACGAAGACTGTGAGTCCCAAGAAAGAAGTGAGGGAAAAAATGACGAAAATGAGAACAGCCCTCATTTTTCTTCAGAAATAGAAAACACTTCGCCAAATATACAAAGAGCACATAGAACTCGTCCAAGAGAAGATAGAACTTCGCAGAATATACAAGGAGGAAATAGAAGTCGTCCAAGAGATAATAAAACTTCTCAAGATTATGGTAGAAAAAGACAACTAAGAGACGATTTGCCTCCTGAAATCATAGCAGCGGGCCGTCAAATGGACGAAGCATTCGATTTCATAAAAAAGAAGAAAGACGATGAATATGAGATGTTCGGAAGACTGATCGCAAGTAAAATAAAAAAAATTAGTAATCCAAACACGCGTGATTTTTTAATGAATGATATTCACAATTTAGTATTTCGCACGTGTATGGCAGATCGACTTGAACAACAGTCTTTAGTTCCTCAATTTCCCACATCCCAGACTTCACACCATCAAGTATTAAGTCAATCACCAAATCCGTCACCACACCAATCACCTCCAGGCCAATCCTATTCTCCACACCATCAAGTATTAAGTCAATCACCAAATCCATCTACATACCAGTCACCTTCAGGCCAATCCACATCCCATTCTCTACACCATCAAGTATTCAGTCCACCACCAAATCCGTTTACACACCTATCACCTCCAGGCCAATCCACATCCCATTCTTCACACAATCAAGTATTCAGTCCATCACCAAATCCGTCCACACACCAGTCACCTCCAGGCCAATCCACATCACATTCATCACAATATCAAGTATTCAGTTCAATACCAAATCCGTTCACGTACCAGTCACTTCCAGGTCCTTCCACATCTCAGACTCTACACCATCAAGTATTCAGTCCATCATCAAATCCGTCCAAATACCAGTCACTTCCACACCACGAAATAAACAGTCCATCATCACCTCTAGATCACTTCCCAGTTCAATCTTCCCAAGAAAATTTCCTAGAATCAGCACGTGCCTCACAGATAGTCATAACAGATACCGGTGAAATAAAGATAATTAAGAATTGAAAAATTATTTTTGTTAATATCTTCAAAAATAAATAAATGAAAGACATAAATACAAGGTATGTTTTTTTTTCCCAAAGTACAAAAATTTTATATGACGGGCAGTTACAATGAAATTACATGATAATATTTAAAAAATGCAATTATATTCTAATGCAATTATATTTACTGTTTATAGACTAATCAACAAGTCGATTGGTGTCTTAAATATTAAAACTCATTTATTTCTATTGGCGGCGCTATTGTGCCGTCTAAACGTCATACCTTGCGACTAATTCATGTACCTGAAATGTTCTGCGAAATTATTTCGAACCTCGATTGCTGTTAAAGCTGAACGTCGTGCAATATTGCTCATTGACCTGAAAGCGCCTTCGCCTTGTCCAATGTCTTGTCTCCAAGTTCCTGAGTTTATTATTTCTCCATTGACAATTGTGTCAGTGTAGCCCGATGGGGAGTAAATGGATCGAGAGTTACAACTTTTTCTTAAAAAATTATGTAGTAAAGCACATGCCATTACAACTTTTGAAGCTTCGTTTGGTTGTAGAGTTATAGGTTTTCTAAGTACTCGAAACCGGGCTGACATAACACCAAATGTATTCTCCACAACAATACGAACAGAAGAAAGTTTACGATTAAAATTTCGTTCCATACTTCCTTGGGAGTGTTGGCCAGGAAAAGGTTTCATTATGTTGGGATGCAATGGAAATGCATTGTCAGCAACAAAAATATAGGGCACATTTTCATCGCCATCAGAAAGTGGTTTAGGTTGTGGTAAATGCAAGGAATTTGTCTGAAGTTTTTCAAATAAAACACTATCTCTGAATACACCACCATCGCTGATTCTACCCTTGTTTCCGACATCGCAAAACATAAAACAAAAATTGCGATCCACCAAGGCCATCATAACAATACTGAATGAATGCTTGTAATTAAAATATTCAGACCCACTGTGAATCGGTGACACAATGGCAACATGTTTACCATCGATTGCTCCCAAGCAATGTGGAAATGTATCCTTAAACTCAGATTCTTTTTGTAGCCATTCATTTTCATTCTCAGGTAACTTGATCATATCCTTCAATACAGATATGAGAGCAGCACAACATTCCTTTACAATACTGGAAATTACTTGGTGAGACATCTTGAACAAATAGTGTAAGCTCCTATAGCTATCTCCTGTAGCTAAATATCGTAAAGTAACTGCTAGTCGAATTTTGGCAGGTATAGTTTCACGAAATTTGGTTTTTTGTTTTTTTATCAAAGGCCCAACTCTGCTAAGAAGTAATTCGAAGTCAGTTGCTGACATTCGAACGAATCCCTGAAACTGATTGGTTGGTTCTGCTAGTAGGTCGGAGAATATTTCCTCCATTGTGTTCCTGCAAAATATATAAAAATTGAAATAAAAAAATTACTTCAAAAGTACACTTTAATTTACAGTATGAAAGAAATAAGAATTAGCAGGAGCAAAAAAAAACACTTCTTGCAGGTCGTAATATATAGTGTATAGTGGTACTAAACCCTGGGTGCATGTATTTAATTTGAACTTGACCAGTATTTATGCTTGGCTTATAAGTTATTATTTTATTTAAATATATTTACGCTTGTCTTAACCATTGGACGTCTTTCTAGTGCAATTTGGGTGCGGAAAAAAAGGAATTTAAATTAATAAACATAAATAGATTTACAGTGTACGTTTCCTGTGCATCTGTAGCATCCACCATCTTCTTTTTCTTTGAATTCTCTTTTTCTTCGTTTGGCAATGATACAATATATTCATATAATAAAAATTTACACTCATCAAATATAGAGTAGCTGCGTCAACGTCCATCTTGCTTGAAATTCAAGGAACATTAAAAACATTTAACGCCGTTCAACGGCAAATTTAATGCCGTTCAACGGGAAACGGCGTTGACCGTTCAAGTGTAGCCACTCATTTTATCGCGTTATTTAAGGCAATAATTGTTGCGTTTATGGGCATTGACGTTGCTCGTTAGGTGTAGCCGCAGCATAACTGTCTACATAACCGCGCGCCACCGCACGGTAGAGCGCGGCGCGCTACGACCCGCGCACTGATCTTGCACCGCGCGTCACTCGCACGCCAGCGCGCGGCACAAGTTCTACAAACCTGTATCGACCTGTTCAGTTGATCCGCGCAGTTTGAGACGGAATGACACATAGATCAAAGAAAAATGAGTAGCGAAGACGATATTGTGTCTATCGATTTGATTTGAAATCGAAAAAAGAGATGCTATTTGGAATCTCAACTTAAAAAAGGGTTTTTAATAAAAAAAAAAAAAAAAAAAAATATTTATTTGTCACACTATTGATAAAATAATTGATACCAATAATAAACGTATTACACCATTTATCCTTGCCAATCTAATTTTCCCTCACTTACAAAGTAATTTGTTAATTTAGTTCTAACATTATCTGCTTCATGAATTGCTCTACCACTGTTAGTTGCGCTCATATTAATTAATGGCGACATGTCTCCTATACCATCTCTTGTCCACAAAATTGTGTAAAACACAAATGGCTTTGACAACCATTAGCAAAATCTATCTTGACGTCTATTGACCGGTGCAAAATTCGCCATTTATTACACATTATGCCAAATGCACAATCGACATACATTCGTGCTAAAGAAAGACGATAGTTAAATATTATTTTTCTTTTGACAACATTTTACCTCCATAGGGTCTCATAAGATTTTTTGTCATACCGAAAGCTTCGTCAGCTACAATTACATACGGTAATTTATATGTATCGTTCTCGTTATTTGTGATAGATCTTGGCTCGGGAGTGTTTTCTTGAAAACACCCGAGTCACTGTCTTCTGTAAGCCCCAACGTCTACTCATATGAAACAATAGTTAGCATCGCACAAAGCCATTAAAACTAATGAGAATAAGTGTTTGTAATAACTTGTAATACATAGATCCTGATTCTGGTGGCTAAATTAAACGAACATGTTTGCCATCCAAAGCACCAATACAACTTGGAAAATAGGCTTTTTTTTAAATTATGCAGATATTTGTATCCACGTCTCTTTAGTTGGTGGACTCATGACCATAGTTTTCAAGTTTTTCCATAAAACTTGGCATACTTGCTTAATTACAGCAGATAACGTTGATTTGCCAATTTTATAACCATACTGCAACTCTGCTAATGAACAACCACTTGCTAAGTACCTGTAAATAATAAATTAAAATAAATAATTATTTCTTTTGCAGGATCAATTTTGCAGAAAAAATGGAAAAATTTTACGAGATGCCTATGTAAAAGAACTTAAAAAAACAAACAATTTGAAATCCGGCTCTGCAGCATCAACAACATCTTCGTTTGCGCATTTTCAAAGATTATCATTTCCTAAACAAGTTGTCCAAAAAAAAGTACTGACAATAGCCTTGATGTTGAGGAAATTTCTGCAAATATTGATCTGAACAGTATTAATAACAGCATTAAATCTCCAACAGAAAATGTTCCCGAAAGAAATATAAACTACACCCAGCCGACGTGCATTTTGCTAATCTTTTAGAAAAAAGTATAAATCGTAATAATAGTGTGTCAGAAAAGAAAGAAGATGATGACGAAGATAAGCTTTTTATCTGTCATTGGTGAAGGAAATAAAAAAAGTCCCCGAAAACCGGCTTTTAAAGTTGAAAATTGATATGTACAAATTATTAGAACAATACCAGTCTGCACAAGCCGTCTGCTTCATATAACTCACAACGGCAGCCAAGAAACTATCTAACTTCATGCACAAATCCTCATTTTAGCGACACGATTCGATACTCTGGTTACGAAACTGGCTCCTACACTTCACCCCCACAAATTCAACACAAGTAACATCGCCCGGGTCATACGAAGATTCTCAAGAACTGGATTTATTTAATCAAGCACTAAATTAAGTAAAAAATTTACCTAAAAGACTCATTTATAATTACTTAATTGTTAAAGTAATAAATAAAAAGTGATCACTTACCTTAATGTTACTATGAGCTTTTCTTTTGGTGACATGCAATATCTAACAGCACCATCTCTGGGTTTTAAATCGTTTTCAACGCAATCATACAAAAAATCAAAAGATGCTACTGACATCCTAAAGTAGTTAAAAAAATTCTTCGTGTAGTCTCAGGTCGGGATATAATGTTACAAAATGGCTTGAAGAAAGTCTTTCACTTAAAATAGGATGGACCCAGTATCGTCTTTGTCTTTTTCTCCGACGTCTCAGTTTTCTGTACAAAATCCATAAGCAAATTGCCTCCTCCATGTCTATTTTCAATCAATGTTGATGCCGGACTGCCGCGCGTACATAATACATATTCTGTCATGTGAATGCTTCCACCGCGCGTCACCGCGTGGTGCCGCGCGGTCATGTGAACTTAAGCGCTAATTACATTATACAATTTTTAGAAAATCTAATTAGGAAGTAGGAAGGTGTAATCGTAGTTAGAACAGTTAGGATCCAATTTAGTCAAATTGGAGGTCCCGACCGCCCTACTTCCTAAAATGCTTACAATTTAAGACAGTGTAATCGCAACGTTACGATTTAGAACAACCATTCGGCGCCCGCACTTTCGCAATTTTCAAAATTCCGCAAGCGCATGTCTTGAAGTTTTCATAGAAGCGGTTCTGATATCAGAGAGTAGTACTTTAAATCTTAATATTAATTTCCGGTGGCTATAAAACTTAATGTCACCATCAAACATTCTTTGGCACTCACACTTTATCGAAATATCGTCGACTTCTTTTTCAATATGTTTGGATACCAAACTTAACAAATAATCAAACTGTTTTATATGTGGTAGAACCATGCTGCAGTTATATTAGTAGTATAGTTGTAGCACGAATGGATCGGCTCGACCGAGGAAAGACCACGCTCTCACAGAATACCAGCGTGAAATAGTAGCTTAATATTGGTGTGTTTCGTATGGCGAGTGTAGAGCCAAAAAAGGCACCTCTACATGAACATAAGATGTCCAAGCAACCACTTACCATCAGG